GAATGGCGAAAATAATCCCTGGAGAAGGGGAACAAGGGGGACAGAGAACAAACACAATTCTCCAGACACAGCCAGGTGACTGGTGCGAGACAGAAAAGATCCGCTTGGCCCTCGTATTGAACCAGGCACCTCTCCATTACTATTGGAGCACTCTACCAGCTAAGTGGTCGACACCAGGACCAGGCGGATTTTTTTGGTAGCACACCAGTCACCTGGTTATGTTTGGAGAATTGTGTTTTTCCTTTGTTCCCCTTGTACCCCTTCCCCAGGGATTATTTTCGTCGTCGAGATATTGAAGCTGTACATGTGCTGGTGACTGAAGACATATCCCCGGCCGTAACTCGACATACAGTAGTGAACAAAAAGATATGATATTTCGGTTTTACGTGGATAACCTTTCTTTTAACTATGATAAAGATATAAAAACTGTAGTGGAACACTACATTAACGTATTTATAGTAGAAACTGATGCTTAATTAAATATGAATTAATTTTTTTAATCGATATTTATTGCAAACCTGGTTACAGCGGTGCAAGAGGACGTGGTCAATAATCTGGCTGTTGTGACAAAATATGACACCGCGTACTCTTCCCATTGCCTGCTAAATATGCTTATATAAAAATAACCCATTATAAAAACCATAGGAATTCAATATTCTTTTCTTACAAAAGGAAAACGTAGGTGACTGCGAACGGCCACGAGGTGACGAAGAAGAAGGCGCAATTTGAAAAATAAATGAAACCTACCGGTGTCGCAACAACCGACCTCTGGTGGCTAAAAAGGCTGCATTATGGTGTACCATATTAAAACACAATATTATTGAATAATCACTAGACGTGGAGCATTACTTCTGTAAGAGAAACAAAATATCATATCTTTCGTTCACTACTGTATACCGCCCCATAGTGCTGCACGTCCCGCTATTCTCAGTGGCGGCGCAAAAATGAGCAACTGTTCGAGAGAATGGTTGAAAGAGCTGTGACGTGCGACCGTCGCACAGCCGCGGCGTGTACCCGGACAGAGTCACGTCGGATTGCAACTACGAATTGCTAAACCATGGCAATTAAATGTCGACGATTCTGACGCAGACTGGTACCATCGTTGGCATTTCGTCCACCAACAAAACATTGGCATAAATTGGTAGCTCTTACTTAGATGCTTTATTCATAATAAAGCTAATACATAGAGCGCAAACAACGTTAAGCTCGAAAGCACTCAACGAAATTAAAATAGATGCTCTTCTTATCACCCTTGCTTTAACAAAATTAACCGGATATTATTTAAAAGGTGTCTACGATTATTCGTCGTTTTACAAGATTGATAAAACGTGACATCGTGAAATTGAAAAATGAAAAATGAAAAACTGCCTGTAACGCCGAATTAGAGCACAGCTTTTGAGTAGGAGGAGGTGGGCAGGGTACTGAGCGGGGGTCATGTGGACTCTGGGGGGGGGAAGGGTTCACGTGACCAAGGGGAGGGGGGTTACGTCTCCTCGGGGAGGGGGGGTCACGTGACCTTGGGGGGAGGGGTCACGTGACCTCGGGGGTCACGTGTCCTCGGGGCGTCACGTAACCTCGGGGAGTCACATGACATCGGGGTGTCCCGTGACCTAGGGGGGACATGTGACCTCGGGTTGGGGGGGGGGGGGGGGGTCGGGTAGCCTCGGGGCGTCACCGGGTTGCATGCAACCCGGCGACTCCGACGTGTTGCATGCAACACGGGTTGCATGCAAGTAGAATTAAAAGCAACTTGTGTTGCATGCAACCCGTAATTACGCTGACCACGACGGGCTGCATGCAATACAGGTTGCATGCAACCTCAGTGGCATGCAACGCGCGGTTACGCCGACGGCGACGGCGACGCCGCTCAAGCCGGAAACAGGCGCCTAAGAGCTGCGCTCTAAAAAAAAAGTAAGTCAGTAAGCAGGTTGCGTACACTTCCCGCTGCTAGAACAGGTGATTTTAAGACGCAGAATTCCTACAACTGTGACCTCAAAATCGTTGGCTTGGCTTCAGCCTGGCCAATTTTAAGCAATTTTCTTGAGCAGTGACTCTGAAAATTTCGACAAACGGGCAAGAAGATAAGCGCATAAATTAAGACAACATAAACATGCGTGTTAAAATAAATTAGTTTTGAACTAAATCGTTCGCATTAACACGTCGTGGAGCCTTCAATAAAAAAAATATCCCCATAAAAACATCGCACGTTTTACGAAAACAAACAAACACCCCTCTCAATTAGAATTATGAGTAGAATACAACATTCGATTTCACATCACGTGTGTAACTGACACTTGGAAGCAAGCGAATGGAATAAACTATTAAACACTTTATGAAGAAATTTGATGTTACTGGGGCGCAAACTTCCAAAATGTAAAGGCGGACATAACATCTGCCAAACATTATGCACACCATTGGGAAATCTTTAGCTCTCTGGAAATGCGAGGACGGACTCCATCAGTAAGCTGGTCGTGTTTCTAGCAAACGGCGCACGTGCGCCGGCTACTCAAAGAGTACCTAACGTGCTGATCCAAGAAACTAGACAAAAACATGAGCACGATATGAACACGTTTTAGGGTTTTACACGCCAAACCTCGGGACTTATAAATCTTGCCGTAATGACCGTGACCCTTCGCAGAGATGCAATGCATATCTAATATGGAATTGTCACACAAACTTTTTTGCACACGCATGCAATTGCCCAGAGGTGCTGCATCTCGGCTGCTTTTGAAGAAGTAAGACGTGATGGAGGCGCATGGTGGTTGAAAACGAAAATAAATCACAATGGAATGGGCTTCTCCAAACCCTTATGACAGCAGTCTGAAAACGTTTTTTTTTAAATTTATTAAGCAACCTATAAGTGCAATATCCCTAATGCATGAAAGGAGCTAGAGGCTGTTTGAAAAAAAGGTCGCCACCGATTTTGTAGAATATATTGTTCTAAAGCGTTCCATGCTTTATATGTTTTAAGTTTTAAGAATTTATAACCCTTTACCTTGAAAACCCAAAGGGAAGTAAGATTAACAGTGACTGTAGGCTCGTTCATGCTAGCTAACTAGATTATTTATGTAAAACTCTGCTTTGAGGGTATCAGGACAAAAGTGAAGTGTTGGATGAGATTCGCTTGTGACTAACAGCACCTCCAAATAAAATAAACTGATTGGGGCTTTATGAATATTAAAGGTAATTATTCACATCTGTGGGCGCCCTAAAGGCGCCCACTCTCACCCTGACGGCCATAAATTGGCCGTCAGGGTGACTGGCACGTGATATAACTTTCAGCGCGTTTTCGTTCTGATGGCGATAGTTTCAAGTAGCTCATGTTGCAGAAAAACCGGCGTGGGCGTCGGTGGGAACGGAAAATTGAGATTTATTAATAACTCCTTATTTTGCCTTAAGCAACACATTCGAAGAATTTCGGGCGGAGCGGGATCGAACCCACAACCTTCAGTTGCGTGCCAGACACGCTACCGACTACGCCGCGCATACAGGCTTGCGAACGAGCTGTGTTTATGCGGAGGGCAAGTTCGTCTGCTTCTTGCGCAGGGGGTAGCGGTGACGTCAGAACGCCGAGCCCTGATTGGCTGATCGCGACCCCCTATCTGAGCGTCGTCTGCTCCTTTGCAACGTCGTCTGCTCGCAACTTCGTCTGCGTCTTTCTTACCTTTCCTGCGACTTTCGGAAGTGCAGAGGCCAGATTCACGAAACGATCTTACTCAAAAAATATGCGTAAGACAAAACTTAAGAACAAATTCGTATTCACGAAACGAAATTTTCGTAAGTGTTGAGCAGGTTACGACGAAATCCTACGACAGCTCGGAAGCTGTCTTACGCACTTCTTACGATCAAATAAGCATGGCCGACAGCGTCGCAGTCGCAACGACCCACGGACGTTTATTTTTCTACGCGCGCTTCTCACGCGTCCCGACTTCAAGCAGCAAGAAAAAAGTAAAAAGTACTTGAAACAGACCACGACGAACAAGAACGCTGGATCAACAAACACCCGGGAAAAGCTCCAACGGCCACGATTCCACCGAACGCGACCAAGCGAGTTCAGCAGTTAGGCCTAGCAGGCACTCCGCGACTCGGCGACCGTCTGTCCACGACCGGCTGGCGTGCTGAATGGAATATGCCCGCGCGACCCTTCTGAACCCTTCCCGTATTATACTTTGATCGCTGACCTCAGTTTTAGATTAAGAGGTCAATTTCTTCCTCTTGTTATCTCCTTGTTTCCCGAGGCATCGGTGACTCTCGCCGGTGAAAAAGCGGTGAATCTCCGACAGACGCAGGAAAGGTAAAGCAGCCATCGCTTTGACTAGCAGACGTAAAGCAGACGCCGTTAAAGAACGAGGGGTCTCGCCGCACACGAAAGGAGGGAAAAAGTATTTGGGAGGGAACTTGCGGACACTAACACGGTCACCTGTCGGGTCTTAGCAAACAAACCTCGGCGCCTCGGGACACCTCGCCAGTGAGTCCTTTGACTTCCCTCCTGGATGCGCGTCTGCTAGTTGTTAGACAAAAACAACGTACCGCTTGAGTTATTTTGTCTGCCCTCTCTGAAAGGCGAAGTCCCGGGAAACGCAAGACAGACGCAGACGACGTTGCGAGCAGACTACATTGCCAAGGAGCAGATGACGCCCAGATAGGGGGTCGCGATCAGCCAATCAGGGCTCGGCGTCCTGACGTCACCGCTACTTCCTTTCTCATGCGCAGAAGACGAAAATGAACCCACTTGCGAGGCGTATAGTTAGCTATCCCGTTCCACTCTGAAAGGCAAAGCTTAACTGTCCTCCTGTAATTTCGAAATCCTGCCTACGTGTTTTTCCTCTGGTTCGGGCATGCAGCAAGGCAACTTCCCCACATACGAGACGCTGCGCAAAGTGCCCACGGCCATAAAAAACGTCCTCCTCCCAAATCACCTACACACCCGGCAGTAATGGTTTTTTTTTTTTTTTTTTTTTCAGACAACTTTCTAGGATCGTGTATTCGCCGACACTCACCGTAGACGGTCATGTGCTGGTGCCTGGAATCCTGTCCCGCTAGCGATGCAACGACGCAGGTGTACTTGCCGCTGAGCTCCCTCGTGGGTCTGAGGATGCGGATGGCGCGGTACTGGGAATAGTCGTCCCTCGAGTTCACAGAGAACGAAGGGTCCAGGCGGCCCTGGAGCACGCCAAAAGCCTCCCGGGACTTCATCTCGGGGATCCACTGGTACACAGGCTCCAAACCGTCGTTGAAGAACCACTTGACCACCAGCTTCAGGTCATTCTCGTTGTACACGTACTCGCAGTCCAGCACCACCGGAGTCTCCGTGCCGTTGCGTACCCAGCGCGGGACAGACAGCCGCCGGATTGTCACGCCCAGGCCACCTGTGCGGAAAAACGCGAGGGAAAAATAAAACCTTCTCTCCTCTGAAAATACTAATTCGAGATAAGGCAAACAGATTATCTGTAAAGTAAGCATTTCGAGCATTCGAATGATCTGTGAGAAAGGAACTGACGCAAAGAAAAGCACACAATTTGAAATTAAGGTTTGCGCAGTAGAAAAACGATAACATTTTACGATCCGGCAATACAATTTAGCGTTGTAGAAGGTCAACTTGGAGAGTGCAGTGCGACTACTCCTCTGCCCCTTTCGAGGTGCATAGCGTAAGAATAATTACACGACCACCAGGCTGTGTACAACCTGATCTCATCTTAGCCAACCGAGGCGGCAATATTAAAATCAGGAAAACTTTTTTTTTTTTTTAAGGTCGAGGGGTTAGTTTTCTCTAACCAATCTCCCAATTAGGTTAACAGTACATTTTTTCCTGGCACCACAAAGCCTAGTAATATAAAAAAAATATATAATAAACATTTACCTTTCTGTTTTGCATACTCTCTCTCAAATTTAATACAATACCTAAAAATTAATTACGTGTGAATATATTAGCGCCCTCACACTTTTATGAACTAAAAATATTTAAATTGTTGCTGAATTCCTTGCTTTTGATCAAATATAAAAAGTGTATATTAAAATCAGAATTGGGAAGCAATCCCTTACAGGTAACGGACTACTTGTAATCAGTTACTTCATCAGGTAATTTTGTATTGCCACATTACTTTTTTTCGTAAGTAATTTGTAATGTAATTTCGTTACAAAATATCGGTAACGGATTAATTTAATTACTCGTTACTTTTTAGAAAATAATGAACATAATAAACAACGGGAGCAATATGAGCAGGCAGTTCAGCAGCCCAAAGATAGAGCAAGTAGAACAAAACAGAAAACGCCGCGAAGAAGAGAATGACCAAAAAAGAAAACACAATTTTTTATGACCGGTCACTACCGGGTGATTCAAGGAGACGCCAGGCTCTTTAAATCGACCGGAAAATTCGGTTTCTTAACCTATCGCGCTACGACTTTGTGCAGCGTTGCCCACAGATGGTGCTTTTTTTTTTTTTTTTGTAAAATTTGCAAAGAGCGTGTTTACCCGAGGAAGAAGTAAAGAAAGAAAAGGCTTAGCTCCTATGGAAATGAAGCGACGCCACCGGTCTGCAAACAACACGGCGCCGTTTCGCACGGGAGACTAGAGATAGCGCAAGCGCTCGCAACGCCAACTGCCGCCAACGAACGAGCAGACGACGCCGAGAGACGGCTTATTTAGCAGACAAGGAACTGCAGTTCTTTGTTGTTACCGCGCCTGTTTTTGTTTCTGCGACTGTCGCCGCCCGCGGAACGCGCTCCGCTTTTGAGTCAAAAAGATTGTCTGCTAAAGACGCTTGCTCTCGGCGCCGTATGCTCGTTCGTTGGCGGCGTTCGTTGCGCCATCTCTTGTGTCCCGTGCGAAACAGCGTCGTGTTGTTTGAAGACCGATGGCAAAGCTGCGTTTCAATAGGAGCTAAGCCTTTTTCTTTCTTTACTTTATCATCAATTAAGTTCGCTATTTGCAAATTTTACAAAAAAAAAAAAAAAAAGCACCATCTGTGGGCAACGCTGCACAAAGTTGTAGTGCGATAGGTTGGGAAACCGAATTTTCCGGTCGATTTAAACAGCCTGCCGTCTCCTTGAATCACCCGGTAGATCCACGAGAAAAACGTTCAAGACATATACAAATATGCGAGGAAAAAGATCAAAACGACAACGACGAGCAGTCACTGCCTCTTTCCATCGCCTTTCCATTGTGCTTTAGCTCTCCCGGGAAGACGAAATTTCTTCGTATTTCATTTTTCGTTTTTTTTTTTACTTGTACAACTGTTTCACCCTTTCCAACTTTTTCGATGTCTCTCGCCACCTCAACAAAGTCACAGGCACGAGACCGCAGCTTTGAGGCCTTGCGCTCACTCTCAAAACGCCCGTTTCAAAAGGGAGCTTCCGTAGATAGATTTCTTACCTCCGAATCTCCTAGCATAGGTAGACGCTTCTACTGAGCATGCGCACCGCTAGCTTCGCCTGAAGAATTGCAGGGATCATTTCCGGTTATAATAAGTTAGCGGTAAGGCGGGTGGGGTTGCAGCTTTAGCTGCCTTGTCAGCCTGCAGGTGAATGAATGTCCACCTACATCCTTTCTCTTAAATATATTTTTTATTTAAAAAGAAACTACGATAAAACGGGAGTATGGGAAATGGAAAGCTGTAGTGCAGAACCTTTTTGTAAACATCAACATTGGTTCTATTGCTTTCTTGATAAGGTTACGGGAAAACTAATGTGGAAGCAATTTGTAACGTAACGAGAGAAATATTCTGTTAATTTTGAACGAAAACAATTTGTAACGGCAATTAATTTAATTTAGCGTTCGGTAATTTGTAATTGCAGTTCATTACATTATTAGAGTAACGGCAACAAATGATTAATTCATATCTCACCTGCGTACGTGACGCTTTCAATCATGGCGTTTTTAGACGTGAAGCAGTTGGTGCACAAGCTTGACACCAAATTTTCATTCTCCACGCACACATTCTATAACGTATTTACAAATCATATACGCATTCTAATAATGTACGTGATAAGGCTAACGCAGTGACCAAATCTAACCACTGCAGAAATGGATCAGACGTCAGCCCTCTGCATATACAGTTTTTTTTTTCTTCTTTTTTAGATTTTACAAGTTTGAGTTCAAATATCCCTGAAAGCAACATTAATGTGGTTTGTCCAGGTGTGTTATTCGACCAGAGGGACATAATGTAGGAGTCTATTCGTCACCACACGTAAAACAATTACCGAAATCTGTTAATTTTTATTATTCGTAAAAATACACGAAGGACCTTAAGAAACAATTCATGAGCATAATCGAAAAACACGAAGGCGTCAAATCTGAGGAAAGCTTAGAACAGGTGGGAAGCTCGATGATCCACTAAATTTATCACTCGTGCTACAGGCGCAAGGATGGCGGCGAGAATTCGCGTTCCCACGCCACCAGCCTTACGCCTGATTTTCAGTTTATTCTGTCTCAGCGATAGCCTAGCCCTGGTTACTCCTTAGACCCCTTAAAATAATGGTTAATTTCAGGTACTCCGATCACTGCCTTAATAATTTGTGTGCACTCTGTTTCGCCTCGGTCATTCAACTAGTTTCCTCGCGTAACGTGATCGATTTGTGCTCATGCTGACATGATGGCGGTTGATTTGTATGCATAGTTTGAGTCTGCAAAAAGCAGGTATTTTTTTTCCCCGAAAAGTCAACTTACACTGAATTTGGTAACTACCATATTATAAAGCAAGGTGGTACAGAAGTCCTCGTATATCTACTAATGCCGTTGATTCACAAAAATATACCAGGTAAAACACCTTGTTCTGGATATTATTTTTTTCGGTGTCAGTAATGGCCACATCGCTGTTATACAATTTACAGGCCACATATCAAACGTACAAAAAACACAACTTTAAACTTACCTATACAGACAAAAACAGTAGATTGAAGCAAAACTACAGCCCCCTGCAGACAAATTGAACGCAGAACAAGAAAATTTCCTTTATCAAAACTCATTACGCATAAGATGATATCTGCTTTCATAGAGACGTGGATGAGATGACCCGTTTGGTAGGAACTTCCCCTAGCTCATCGCTGGATATTGAAATTAAGCAACGTAGGAAAGAACCCAGAAAGTGTGCTCCAGGTGTGCGTAGTTCCGAGACAACGAGATCATATGTGTACCCACGCGCGTCGGACTCCGAACGAAATTCAGCGCCCTTTCGAAAGTGACGCTGCGGCCTCCAAAGAACTTAGCGCTTGAATGCTCGATAATGGAGCATGCAAACGAGATTAAAGGGAATCAATAGGAGTCTATACTAGGCTCGCGGCGCTCTAAAAGGCTAGCGTGAAATTCTAAGCCTTTGCCAATGTGCGACTTCGCTACTGGGCTTGTTTTTTCTTTGTCTGTGTAGCGCAACCCGGTTAGATCGTGGGAACATTGTCGTCACCGACGTGTGGCACATGATGTGCACATCGAGCGCATGACATTTATCAACCTTCAAATTACCGGGAAAGGCGGCGCTCGGCTTCAGCTTCAGCGGAGGTGAACATGGATGAAAGCCACGTGTCAGGGGAACCAATTATACCTTTGGATCGAGCCACTTGACTGCGCTAGACCTGTTCCGGTGAGTGCTTCTATCATGCTATGATGGGTTTGTTTACGAAATCGCTGCAAACTTGTATCATTATAGATGTTTTGATTAGCTGTTCAACAAGAAGGATTTACTGAATCGCCAAGATATTTTTGTTCTCAATAAAAGGCAGGATGTTTAGTCACTTCGAAATTTATAACAAAAATGGGGAGAGCGGGAATATTTCGACGAACTACGTGATTTTTTTGTAGATGGTCCCTGGAACAGAAACGCTATCTCAATTGACTGAAAGTTTCATTGACTCACTCTGTCACACAGAATGTGATCAGTCGGCTAAGTTAATGATGGATAGTTATATCTATTTCGAGTTAATATTGTAATTACGATCTCAAGAAATAAATATTGGGCAGCTTTTATATAACCTATTCTGGTATACGAGAAAAGGTTTTTATTCTGTGCTACACGTTCATTTTTTACGCACTGCCGCGTTAGGGTTCCTCTCATATTTTTCTGCTATATTTACAGGAAAATGGCCATCCACACATTAACAGATGCTAAGGTTTCTGCATCTTTTTTAAATATACTGAGTACAGGAGGGCACTTAAAATCGTGCATAATCTGAAGTAGACAGGGGCACGTTCAGCATACTTAAAAATGACTGCGCTTATTTTTAATACATCGTATTCATTCTCTACACGCAAGAAACACGAGTGTTTATTCTAGCACTACCAACATGATTATTTTGAGTAAAAAAGAGTGGGTAAAAACAGCCTTTTGCGTCTCCTAATGTGTGATAAAAAGGAATTGGAAATATAGTTTCGGATTACTGCACTGCATTTTCTGTATCGGTCAATGGTATATTTTTTTTGTTTTTTTATTTCTTGTCATACTTTTGTGGATATTTATTTGTGTTAAAATATCTTCGACCACAGAAATAGCCTTTTCGTTTATTAAGTTTATATTCGTAGTCTAACTTAAGAAATAGAGTGCATGGCAGATACTTGAACACATGCCACTGAGGCGGGAAGAACATTTATGTGATCATAAGATTTCTTTACTCAAATTGTAGCTTCTTGGTAATTCCTTGCGTCGAAATATGGCAATCTCACAATATGTGGAAGATTTATATTACAAGAATTATCATTGAGTCAATTGAGTTTCCAATGCACTCTTATTGAGTACTTTATAAACTCAAGTGAATCTCATTTAAAATCTTTGTCAGCGTTAAACACTTCGAATTTACGAGGCACTTTTACATTTTAAGGCATCTCTCAGAAAAAAAAATGAAAGCCGTTTACAACTCCCTGTAACACCGAATTAGAGCGCAGCTCTTGAGGAGGAGGAGGGAATGGTACTGGGGGGGGGTGAAGTGACCTGGGGGGGGGGGGTCACGTGACCTTGGGGGTCACGTGAACTTGGGGGTCACGTGACGATGCCGATGATGTCACAGTGACGATGACGATGCGAACTCCGATGACGTCATCAGCGATGATGACGATGACGATGCGGATGTCGGTGACGTCATCAGTGACGTCACTGATGACGTCATCCGTGATGATGACGATGACGATACGGATGCCGGTGACGTCATCAGTGACGTCACTGATGACGTCATCGGTGATGATGATGATGACGATGCGGATGCCAGTGGGATCATCAGTGACGTCACTGATGACGTCATCAGTGATGATGACGATGACGATGCAGATGCTAGTGAGGTCATCAGTGACGTCACTGATGACGTCATCAATGATGATGACGATGCGGATGCCGGTGACGTCATCAGTGACGATGACGTCATCGGGGAGGTCACGTGATCTCGGGGGGGGGGGTCACGTGACCTCGGGGTGTCACGTGACCTCGGGGGTCACGTGACCCTGGGGGAGGGGTCACGTGACCTCTGGTGTCACGTGACCTTGGGGTGACCTTGGGGGTCACATGACCTTGGGGTGACCTTGGTTACCCCGACGCCGACGCCGCTCAAGCCGGGAACGGGCCCCTAGGAGCTGCGCTCTAAAAAGGTTAAGGAGTTAAAAAACAAATTATGCTCAGAACGTTGCGTCTTGTGCGTGGTTACTGGGGAATCATTAAAAACTACACAGGGTATTTTTAGTTTAGCACTACTGTTAAATTCAACGTCAGGCTCTTGGAAGGGATCTTTATGAATCCAAAAAGCCGAAAACTTTTTTTGCTAGCGAAGAGCTGTCGTTGAGCGTAGAACAATTCAAAGTAAGTTTTGTGAAACATGCATTTCAATATGCCCCTTGTGAATGTTCAAAATTGCTTGTGCACAGAATCCTTGAGCCAAATTCGCAATTATCAGAATAATGCAAAATTAAATTGCTCCGTTTTATGCTTACAACCCGCAAACCTATTTATTTATTTATTTATTTACTCATTTACTCCCTCAGGGCCCGAAGGCATTACAGAGGGAAGTGGGCAGAATACCTATAATACAACACATAGTAAATTAAGCAGGTGAAAAAAAAAAAATCATCAAACAAGCTTTTTACTCGGAACAGAGAACATAGCTACAAACGGCTTCTTTAAACTCGGCACTTTCAACTATGTCGGCAATGTGAGCGGGAAGGCGATTCCGATCCAAAGGTGTCATTGGTATGAAAGACTTGTGAAAACTTGATATGTGACTGGGAGGGATAGCTACTTTATTTCGATGATCGATACGCGAAGAAACATAAGAGGGTTCAGTTATCAAAAGTTGTCGTACTGCCGGGTTATAATGATGAACCTTATTAAACAAGGACGGTCTGGATACTTTTTTGCGGAGAGAGAGGATAGGCAGGCCGAAAGTGGTTTTCATTTCAGTCACGCTGGATGTACGATGATAGTTGCGTAAAGTGAATCGGGGCGGAACGGTTTTGAACGGCTTCAAGCGATAATGCAAGAGATTTGGCCGGTTGCAAAATGGCAGCAGCGTATTGTAGCTTACTGCGGAGCAAAGATTTATAGAGAAGCAGTTTTAAGGACAAGGGAGCCAAAGATAATTTTTTTAAAGAAAGCCTAGCATGCGGTTTGCTCTATTAGTAACATATCAGTGTGAGTGTTCCAAGAGAGGTTGTTATTTACGCATACGGCAAGATATTTATATGATGTTACGGGTTCCAGTAAAACATTGTCGATGTGGTAAGACGGACAGGTGTTATTTTGACGTGAGATTCTCATGAATTTGCACTTAATAATATTGAGTTTCATTTTCCATTAACACACCAGCGCGAAATATTGTTAAGGTCCGTCTGTAGTGATTCAACATCAGAATCATTAGTTATTTAAGAGTAAATGACGCAATCGTCGGCGAAGAGACCAATG